CCACACCCAAGCAGTAGAACGATGCGTAAAGCTTGTAACAGAGGCTTCACAAAAAGTAGCTGGCTTCAATTCCAGAGATGGCATTATAAGAACTACACATAAATCCAGATCCTCAATGCCTAACTTTTCAAGCAAATCGTTTTTTAAACTACCAACAGAAATTAGCAAAAAGTAAAAGAATATATTTTTTCACGAAAGTTTTAATCAAAATGATGGTTTTTTAATTTAAAAAAAAAATTGCTTATTTACCATTACAATACTTTTTTTTAATTAAATTGTCTCTACATACAGTGGCATAGCTAGGGTTTCTGGTGCCCAGGGCAACGCTGAAAATTGGCGCCTCTCTAATGAAACAGACAGGCGAACTAAAAAAAAATGGGGAGACTTTTAGCAATAAAGCCCTGAAGGGGCCGCATATGGAGGTCTTGCTAGGAAGAAGGGAGGCTCAAGATTCCCTCCCCTTCCCATCTAGGGGTATGGGGTAGCGCTGTAAGCTGTAAAAAGAAGTTACTAATAAAATCAACACTTACACAGTATAAACTTTATTTTTAAACGAAATTAGTTAAACACTTATTTGATTACATAAAAAGTATATTTAGAGTTGTCATATTAAGAAAAACTTTCTAATCATATATCAAAAGAAATAATAATAACAATTTAAATAACTATACAAAATGATTAATATTATATGAAAAAATGAATTGACATGTTACAAACTGTAAAAATTTTATTTTAATTATTATAATAAGTTCTTTGACCATATGTCGTATAGGTAACTGTTGGAGTGAGTTCCTTGTTTATCAAATATATAATCCATATTAAGTTTAACCCAATTACAATTGATATTATGGAAAATATTTTTGCCTTGTAAGAAGCTGAAATTGCTTTTTCCCGATCTCCTAGATTGATTGCAGAGTTTACCTTAAAAAAAATTTATTTACTCAAGAAACAATTACTTGCGTTTTATATTAAACTAGGGCTTTGAATTTTTACTTTTCTTGAATTAACTTTTAGTTTATTCAAGAAAAAAAAAGCGTTAATTGCTCATTCTTTTACAAGAAAAATAAAAGTTAATCGCTCATTCTTTTTTATAATTTTAAAAAAATTATAAAAAATTTTACTTACTTTACTTGAGTAGTATACGGCAATAAGACCAAGAGGCCAAAAGCAGCATAAACACGAAAGCCAAGCCATAAAAGCGTACGATGAAGGTAATGGTTGAACTACTCGAGGTAGAGCACTTTGTGATATGGACACGTTTACTGGATTTGCAGTAATTATTTGAACTGCTGGTTCTGGTTTAAGATCACTCGGACGTTGTGAAGAATTTACTGGATTACCAGCATTTGTGGGTGGTATAGAATTTATAGAATTCTGTGAAGTATATGCTGTATTAGTATAAACCTGTTAATAAATGTTGCTTTATTTTAGAATTATTAAAAATTAAGTAAAATAAATATAACTAAATAAAAATTAAGCTCTTACGTTGCCAAAGAAAACAGTTGTGTCATTTTTAGTCTCCTCATGTAAGTACGTAGGTTGATTGAGTTGATTATAATAAGGAGGTGGGTCATTAGCTATACATACAAACAATTTAAAAAATATATATATATATATATATATATATATATATATATATATATATATATATATATATATATATATATATATATATATATACATATATATATATATATATATATATATATATATATATATATATATATATATATATATATATATATACTATATATATATATATATATATATATATATATATATATATATATATATATATATATATATATATATATATATATATATATATATAATATATATATATATATATATATATATATATATATATATATATATATATATATATATATATATATATAAATATATATATATATATATATATATATATATATATATATATATATATATATATATATATATATATATATATATATATATATATATATATATATATATATGCTAAAAGTATTGGAATTACATGTAAAGTTTGACATTTGTTTAATAAACCTCAACTAAAACAACTATAATATTTGTTTATCCACTGCCATTTAAATTATACAAATATTACTTGGGAAAGTACGCACAAAACTAAACTTAAAGGCCGTTTTCCACAAGACGAAATATTCGCGCGAAGCGTTGATAAGCATGCGCAGATTAAACGTATTTGGTAATTATTCTGATTTTTTTTCGCTACAGCGCGCTACAGCCAAAATCATTATTAGCTTTACAAAAAGTAATAACTTTTAAAATTTTAATCAGATTTTACCCATAATTGCCAGGTTGAGTATATTTCATACAACAAGTTTAATGGTTCCATTAGATTGTTTATTTAGTTGTTATGGATACCTTTATTTTATAGCAACAGTGTATTTTGCATAGTTACCTAAGTTAAGAGACTTTCTTAAAATGTCATATTTATAAACTAAACTGATACTTTTGCTACGATGCTATTTTATGTGTTCAAATAATGACACAAGCAAAAATTAGTAATATTTGGTGTTGCTATGCCGTTTTGGGCTCTTAGAAACCAGTTGTTATTATTTATTTTTTTTATGAAACTTGCTTAATTCAAAATTTCTTTAATTCAAAAATGAAATTAAAACTTTGAAAACAATCTTACCTCTAAGGGTTTATAGACACAGTTAATAAAATTCGAATCAATTGTATCTATGTAGTTCACATGTCCTTAGCAACCAAATAAAAATCAACAAGTATTAATAGAGTTAGAGCTATTGAATACTTTATAAAGTATATGTAAGAGTACAAGCAAATTTGTATATTCCAAAAAACGTTTATTTACATAACATGCATTATTTTATTATAAAATAATAATACTAAAATATTAAAAAGTAAACAACTTCTTGAATACCAACTAAAATCAAAACTATGCAATTGCAATTTATAGTTAGTTAAAAATTGGAACCTCATTGAGTACATGAGTACATTGAATGCCAATTAGAAAAGCATTACTCTTAGGATAATATGACTTTTTCAAACTACTTATCAAAGGGTCAAAAGAACATATTAGTTGCCTTGATAAATCTTTATTTTCTTTTTGACCGCAAACACTTTTTGGAAAATGATTCACAAAACTTCTTTAAGTTTTTATTTTGTGCTTCTTTTGCCTCTTTACTGAAGAGGCACAAGAAGCTCAAAACTCCCTAAATAATGAAGTGTCAATAAGAAAGCTAAATAACAATGTACACAAAATAACATGTAACATCTTTATCGTACTGCCATCAAGTTCAAGAATTAGAGCAAACTTTTCTGCATTCTAAAAAAGTGTTCTAGCAGTGCTTCCATTATTTGATGACCCAGAGCCACCATCGTCACGAAACTTTATTTGAATTTTTTTGTTTTCTTCTTTGGATAATTTTCTTTTTAAATGGTGTCCTTGTAGACCACTTTTTCACTATTAATTTGTAGTTAATTTTAAGAAAACATTCCATGCTTTTATTTCAAGCATGGAAAGTTAAAAGGCCATAACAGAGATCTCTGTCAACGACATATTTTTAACTTCGACTAAAAAATTTTGGTTTTCTATCTCAACTGCCGCCTGATTATAAATCCTTAGGCTAGTTGATCCATTAAACCGAACTTTAGAATGTAATGTTAGTCTTTCAAGATCATTCATGGAATTGATAACTTGTTTCTACTTTATTAGGCGTATTATTGTATGATCAACTAACGATTGAAAGTTTATTTTTTCAGAAAAACTATTAATAGTTCATAATGTTTTTTCAGCACGACATTATTATTTACCAGCACGAACATTTTTGCATGCAGGATAGAGATTACAACATTTACTCAAAGCATTATTTCCCAAGTGTAAGTAATCAGATTTGCTCATATTATTATCTAATATGAGTGCAAGAGCTTTTTAGAGTATTTTGACCATGTTTTGAATCAGAAGGCTGCTTAACAGATATGTTTTAAATTACTTTCACATTAATTCATCTGTCATCTTTAAAAAGATTACAACTATCAGCTTATAACAGTTAATTTAAATAACTCGTTAATAAGTCGATATCATTGTCTTATTTGATGAATTTTCAAATGATTTCACATGCTTACTACTGACTATAAATTTTGTTTTATTATCCAAATTTTTCGATAATTTAATAGTCTTTTTCTTAGATTGGAGTTATGAATGAGGTTACAGGAAGTTTTCATCAACTCTTCAACTTAAAGACCGACGTTTACAATATTTTGGAAAAAAAGTTACAAATTGAGCATCAATTTGAGAAAAGTATTCACAAATAAAAATGTGAACATCGAGTTTGTCTTTTTGATTGGACATAAATAAACCATGTACTTGTTATTTTAAAACATTAAAAAAAAACTTAAAGAAAAAAAATCTTTCGTTTTACAGCAAGTATTAAAAAAAGTAGCAGATACTAGCAGCTAGATAAATTTTCAAAATATGTATAAAGGTCATTCCACGCCAAACGGTCCAATTTCCGAAATCTTTCCCACTCGACCATCTCCAATTTTGACAAAATTTTGTCAATATGTTGTTAAACATGTTTCATAAACATTGCCAAATTTTAAATTAAAATATTTATTAATTCGGGTTTTGTGGTACTTTGTGTAAGGCTTACCCAAACTTCAATATCAGTCTGTAGCTAAAACTGCATTTTTGGGGTCTTATATTTTCGTAATGAACGGTTAATACATCTTGAAAACGTAGTTTCTTAATAAACCGAAGGTGGAGATGACAAAAAAATTAATACAATTTGCATATTATGCCTACATTTTAGTCTTTGTTTTACCAAATACCGTCACAAATTCAACACCATAAGTTTTTTCTGTATTTGTAGGGTCATATCTCCAGAACAAAAGATTTTTTAGTATTGTTAATATGTTAAAAGGCTCTACATACTATCATAATGATATGGATTAAAAATCCGCTTTTTTATAAACGTCTTTTCTGAGTTATTTTGAAAGCAAAATAGCGACAAAAGTGAAATACCCTAAAATAACGTGTGTTTGAAGCCCTAAAAATCAATGTGGACAAATTTTTATGTTTTTTTAATTGCATTGTTGGAAAGAGCTTACTTCATACTTCTAGAAACAATAAACACCATTTTGGAGAGATTTTTTCTATGAACTTAAAAAATCTAGTTTTTATGAGCTAAGTTAGGTCTGCAAAGTCTTTGATATTTTAAAAACGATATTAAGGTCCGTAATTTAACTATAGAGCTAATTTTAGTAAGTATATTTTTATTGTAAGGACAAATCTCACTAAATTAATTTCAAATATTTAAGTTCATCACAAACATCTCATATTAGAAGACAAAAATTAGATTTGAGTTTTAGAATGAGTTATTTTTAACTTATCCTGACATGTCTGTTGAATAAAACTTAAGTACTTGTTGTATTGCAAAATTTGACGGAAGTTTATGTCATTTAAGTACTTATTCACAAAAAAAGGGTTTTATTGACTTTTGCTCAGAACTTTTGAACGAAGAACAGAGTATGATTGTCAGGCAAACTTATAATTTGATTAAAAATGTTACTTTAATTTGTTTCCACCTCAAATCACTGCTGTTGGTTAAATACACTCTTTTGCAGCGCTATTATTTAAACCCTTTTGGTGTGGCCAATCCTTGCTCACTTAAAGGGTTGAGATGTATTGACCTAGAGACTGCAGACTGTCTTTCAAAGTTAATAAATAAAGTTCTTTGTCCAGGTCAAAAATTGTGTCTGAATTGCCGCAAAGCTTATTCAACCGCAAAGTCTTCAAGTGAAAAAATTGACGACATTGGTGACATAGATGATATATTGTGTTCAACTGACACTATTAATACTAGCCTTGACTTGAGAATTGCATTGACTGGTCAGATTTGATACTAGAATTGAAGGATAAAATATCAACAACCAGTAATCCACGTGAAAAAGTTCAAATTTTACCTCTGATACCAAACAGTTGGTTAAGAATAAAAATTGTAGTGAATTTAAAATATCAGAGAGAATGGCTAAAGCAGCAAAAAAGTTGAAGACGAAAAGTGGTATCTTAGCACTTCCAGAAAGAAATGCAGGAAAGAAATTGCCAAAACATGTTGGAGAAAAAATTTTGAAGTTTTACGAACACGGAGCTTTTTGCAGAACATGTCCAGGGAAAAAGGATTTTTTATCTGTGCGCATTGGTGCTAAAAAAAAAGCACATATAAAAAAGAAAATGGAGCTGAAGTTGGATTTTCTAAATTTTGTGAGTTACGTCCAATATGGTGTATATCTGTTAGATCGTTAGGGAATCATCGTATTTGTGTATATACTATTCACCAAAATATAAAATTAATGCTTGCAAGTAGCCCAGTTACAGTAGACTATAAATGTCTGATTGAAAAAATAGTTTGTGACATTAAATCTAAAGAATGTATACTTCATAGTTGTGATAAATGTCCAGGGACTGAAATTTTAAAAGCTTATCTTAAAGAGCAGTTTTTGATTCTGATGAAACTATAACATTTAAGCAATGGATAAAAGTAGCTTGTGAAACTTTAGAATCCTTGCAGTTACTAGTAGACGACTTCAGAGATGAATTAATTCAAAAGTATCTGTATTATCTAAGCATCATTTTATTGCCAAAAACCAAAACAACTATTTGCGATTATTGAAAAATGAGTTGAATTCAAATGAGTTGATTATTTTGATGGATTTTTTTGAAAACTATTCGTTTGTTGTGCAAGATTCTGTTCAAGGGTTTTACTGGGAAAACAGCTAAACAACATTGCCTCCTTTTGTTGCTTACTATAAAATTAATGACATACTTAAAAATACATGTTATTGTGTTATCAGTGATTGCATGCATCACGATTTTATTTCTGTTCATGTATTTCTTGGCAAATTAATAGCTGAACTTAAAACTTATTTGTCTTTTGAACTTATTCATTATTTCAGTGACGGTTCAGCTGCACAGTACAAAAACTTTAAAAACTTTATGAATTTATGTTACCATAACACTGACTATGGAATTAAAGCAGAGTGGAATTTCTTTGCAACTAGTCATGGAAAATCTCCCTGTGATGGAATTGGAGGAACTGTGAAGCGTTTAGCAGCACGTGCCAGTCTTCAACTGCCAATTGATAACCAATTTTAACGCCCTTAAATTTATATGATTTTTGCAAGGAAAGTGTCACGGGTATTTCATTTATTTATGTTGCCAGTGATGAAGTAAACAATGTAAAAGGCAATGAAGAGAAACAATATAGTACTGAAAACACAGTTGCAGGTACTCGCAATAATCACAAATTTGTACCTGTAAATGAAAATCAGGTTTTATTCAGTCGTATTTCAAATGACAATACATCTTTTATTGCAAATGTTAATGAAAGTTACAACAACAACTCAACCAAATTAGTTTCACTATCTGATCTTAGTCCTGGAAATTTTGTTGCATGTATTTATGATGCACATTGGTGGATTGAAAATATTTGTGAATTTTCAGAAGAACAGGAAGATTTTTTCATTGATTTTATGCATCCTCATGGTATGGCTCAGTCATTTTATTGGCCTAGTACCAAGGACACTTGTTGGGTACCTGAGCAGCATGTTATTGCAGTCATTACAAATCCAATCAGTTCTGCAGCAGGTCGATCTTACAATTTACCGTCAATTGTTGTTTCAGACATTAATTCCAAATTTGAAGCTATTTTAAATATGTAATTGTAATCAAGTTGTTTATGGTTTTGCACAACTTAATTTTTTCTATCGACAATTTTTTTTTGTGGAAAAGAAACAATATATATTAACAGAAAACAAAAAACTGCAAAAATATTTGTTTTTTTTTTTTTTTTTTTTTTTTTGTAGAAAATGTGTTGTAAAATATGTATTGTTTCCAAAACTACATGGCATAATTAAGTTACCTAGTTAACTAGATTATGCTACTAAAACCAGGGCCGCATTTGTGACGTTGTTGGATTGATGGCGTTCTTAGGCATCTGAATAAACGTCGCCTAAAATGTCGTAAGAAAATTTAAAAAAATGCATATCTAAAAATAACTTTTCAAAGAAAATAAAAATACAAGCGCCTTTTTTGGTTGGCGCCCATAGTCAGTTGCCTCAACTTCTCTAGCATTTTAAATTGTCAATAACATATATTTATCCGCAGTATTTTTATAACTATTAAATTTTTAAAACTTTTTTAGACATACTTATTGTAAAAAATCAAATGTTTTACGGTTGCCAAGGCGTCATTAGGGATAAACTTTTTTGGTACCATCTACCAAAATGAAGATTAACTTCTTTATTATTTTTGAGACTATTTTTTTTGAAAATTTATCGGTTTGTAAATAAAATAACTATATAATCAAAATACACAAAAATAAATTTTTTACTAAAATAAGTTAGTCAAAAAAATAAATACTTATTTGCAGTTTTTTTTACTTTAAATATTGTGATTCACATTTTGCTGATTTGTTTACTTTTCTGAAATAACTCAAGCAAATGTTATAAAAAATTCTTTGAACATAAAAGTATTTTGATTTTTTTTACAGCAAGCTTTGATTTTGATGCAGTATGATAAATCTTTATGTTTAGGACAAAATCGTAAAATTCAAAAAATATATATATTGACCAATTTTTTTCTGTTCATAAGAAAAATCTTTCCATATTAATTTTTATTGTTTCTAGAAGTGTGAAATAAGCTCTTTCCAATGATGCAAACAAAAAACCAAAAAATTCTGCCCACATTAAGTTTTAGGGGTTCAAACACACGTTATTTTAGGGTATTTCATTTTTGTCGCTATTTTGCTTCCAAAATAACTCAGAAAAGACGTTTATAAAAAAGCTGATTTTTAATCCATATCATTATGATAGTATGTAGAGCCTTTTAACAAATTAACAATA